GGGGGGGGGGGGGCTCATCTCTGTCTTCCCCAGAAAAGGCTTGGGGCACAGCAGAAGCTCCAAGACCCTGGAATGAACCCTAAGTGAACTTCCTTCCCTCTGGGTCTGAAAGACTCCACGTCTCCTGGACTTCAGAACACAAAAGGCAATTCATCTTCTTTGGACAGAGCTTTGCTCACGGACATGAGAAATGGGACCCCTTCATTTCCACCTTTTAACATGGCTCTCTTTTCAGTAGAATTTGTTTACTTTATAAAACTTGATAGGAAAAAAAGTGAGCTCTGGGGTCACACTCTGTCTCTGCCACTTTCTCACTGTGTGGCTCTGGATAAGTGACTCAGCCCCTCTGAACTCAGCGTCCTTACTTTTAAAACAGATAATGCCACCCTCTGAGTGTTGCCAGGAAAATGAAGTTAGCCCATCAAGTCCAAACCTCCCTTGTGCCTGTTGGTACACACAGCCAAGACGTCTGTGCCCCCTGCCAATTGCCCACCACTGGGGGTGCACCTGTGAGGGCCCCACCATGGGGATGTGCAGTGATATGACTGGGAGAAGGAGCTTGTGGGATGGTGACTTCATCTCTCTCACAGTCACTCGTGCCAGGGTCACTGGCTTGTGGCCCGTCCTTCAGGCTCAGGAACTCCCCCCAGCCCTCCCGAGGCTGTGCTTCCGGAGCCTCTGCAGTTAGGAAGAACGGATGCTTTTCTCCCAGGAAGGCGCCAGGAACAAGGTCTCAATAAGCCGTGCAATGATCAGTGGGCCCACTGCAGGCCTCTCCTCCGGCTCTGGCCACAGGTGACCTTTGGCTGGGTTTCAGGCTCCCCAAATCCACCCGCCTGCATGACAGGAAACTGACCCGAAGCACACCCCCGCCTCCGGACTGTGGAAATGACTAAGCCCATTCGATTGTAGCCAAGGAGACTGGGTCAAATGTCCACACGGACCCCGCTGCGGAGGGCATGGAGCCAAATCTTAAAAGCATTTTGCTAACAGGGAATTCTCGGCATGTCCGCCTTCAAGGGCCGCTGGGGGAAGCGGACCATTTGTAGTCACAGGTTGTCCATCCCAGCCCTGCGGGGGCCCAGGGCTCTGGTCCATCAGGGCACTGGGCTTAACTTGATAATTCCAGTTATCACCACCACCACCACCACCACCACGATCTTCGACATTGTGCAAAGGGCTACAGGGTAGAGAACCTTCTCCGTCGAGTTCGAGACAAACGACAAGCCCCTTGGCCCCCTTTCCTCTTCTGGAAAGTTACAGTTATTCGTTGGAAATTTAGCAAAATACATCCCGACTTTTGTTAAATATTTTTATAAACCCATAAGAATATCTGATTCAATGGTAATGACAAATTTCTAGTATTGATAAGTATGATAAGTATAGCTTTGATTATAGATATGAAGCATAGAAGACACTGGACATATTGATTCATTTTTTAAAAAAATGCAACATCATCATAGAATCTGCTGGGCCAGGTTGCGGAAGACACAGAAATCCCTCCATCCTGGGGGGATCCATGAGGCACCTGGGGATGGGGTGACTGGGCAAAGAGCACCCAGCAAGCAATACTTGTCTACATGAAGAGCATTTTAGAAACATTTTAAAACTGAAAAATAGAACAAGGGAGCATTTACTCCTGTCCTGTGCCTGCCTCACAGCCTGTTACTGTGGAATATTCTGAAGAGGAATTTGGAAATACAGGCCTGGCCATCTCCTCCCCGTCCCCATGGAACTCACCTGGTCCGAGGATCAGAGTGATGCCTTCCAGAATATTCCAGGAATGCGCCTGCTCCTGGTGAGTCCTGTTGGTGGATGTGGCGACGGGTTCCCCTGGGCCCCTGCAAGCTGCTTTCATCACCACCACTTCAGTGTAAGAGCCAGAATTCGGGGCAACAGCCAGCGCCCAGACCCCCAGGCTCTCCCTACCTGCTCACAGACACTCCCAAGGAGGGGGTTGGAGGATTAAAAGAACAGGGGTTTCTTTCTGGGAACATCAAAACCAACCTCTGCAGGGCAAGTGTAGGACCCGACTTGCCAGAAGTTATGGTGGGCAAGAACCAGCGTCATTCCTGGGCAGAGCAGCCGTCTGGGTCCTTGGGTTGGAGGGATGCTGAGTGGAGGAGAGGGCAGCATGCCGGGCACGGGGAATGTCACCACGTGTGAGGGAGATGCCACCCTTACAGAGAGCTGGGCCCTTCAGTGTCCTCCGTGCGCCGGATGAATGGGACTGGGAGCTGGCGATGCCTTGCTGGGAGCAGAAGTGAAGGCAACCTGGTCTTTTTGATAGATGTGTTCCATCTGCATATTTAGGCCAACTGCATTTTCCTGTAAGCCCAGGTCTTCCCTTAGTCTCCCTCATGTGGTTCCACACAAGTGATTCAATACCAGAATGTGTAGATTCCTTCGTAAAAATTCCCAACCACAGATGGTTGCTAGTTTATAGGTGGTTGCAAGCCTCTAAATGAGCCAGGGGGTTAGCATGCCTCGAGACATGGCCGTGAGCAATGAGACTGGTTCCACCAGTCACACGGGATGTGCCCTCTCGTAACTGCCAACATGGCTACAGCAGTGCACACATCTGCACACGGACAAACGCTGCAACGGGGAGACAGGGAACCCGAGGTATGCAGTAATCCCTGGAATTCTGGCAAGGGGGCCCCAAGACTTGAACTATTCAACTGCATTGATCTGGCTGCAGATCAGAAAATAATTAGAGGCATGCTTCAAATACGGAGATTTCCAGGAAAGGGGAGCCATCCCCCAGCCCTGAAGGACCTGCGGCCAAAGGGAGAGCTAGTGTTTAATGACCAGGTGACTTGCCGGAAGCTCGGAGAATCATTCTAGTTCCACTTTCTACTATCAGACCCACCTGCTAAGGGCTGGGTCTCCCCTGCTCAGCTCACCTGGGCAATCCATTTCAGCTCCCTGACAGCTTCCTGTTCTGTTCCCCACAACGGTTCTCGGTCCAGCTGCCTCCCCATTCCTTCTTTCCTCTCGAGAAAATTGGGGGCCCTCAGACGTAAACTTCTTTCACCCTCCTACTGCTCTCTACCCCACAATTTCAAACCCCATCTCATTTTCAGCCTCTAAGAAGGAATACCCTCTCCTGTGAGGGCCCATGGCCTCTCCCGCTGCTGTGCGCTAGGCCTAGCTAAACCCTTCTCGTGTGGCCCCTAGGGTTACCCTCTAGCTGAGTTCTCTCCCCCTCCACTTCCTTCCAATCCAGCCTTCTCTACCTGCTGCTCGGAGTGACATTTGCAAAATGCAATTTTTCTCACTCCGTGCTTCAGGTAGTGTGTTGCTGCTTCTTTTCTGGGGTTCAATCTACTACCCATCGTTTCCGTGCTCTGGTTGTAGCCTCCACCTCACCCCTGACTGCCTCCAGCCCTCACATCACCCCCTTGCACTGCCTCAGGGGCACAGACATACATGCAGGCCTGGGGGCCTTTGCACGCACACCACACACCCACTTCTGCTTATGTCATTACGCCAACCTCCCCCTTTCTAGGTGGCACCTCGCTCTCTTATCTTTAATACTTGGTATCCAGGGCAGATCCATCATAATATCTATGGTTCTCTTTACTATACTGTTCCAGGGATTTTGCATAATAGGAGACGATAAATGCCACTCGTCGGTGAACCAGCTTTAGATCCTAATCTCTGATCTGCCAAAGTAGCCTGTGTTCTTAGCAAACTCCCTCTGAGTCAAGTTCTAATGTTTACCCAGTGCAGTGGCAGGGAGGGACTGAGGAGGAGCGCCAGGACCCCTCCGCTGCAGCAGCAGAGCCAGACCACCCCTGGCTGACCCACCAGACTGGCCCATGAGCGCACCCTGGCTCACTAACGAAAGGCTAAGTGTTCAGGTCTAGCCAACCCAATTCAAGGTCAAATCGTCTTCATACAGCTGCAGAAAATCCCAGTGAATTATTTTATGAGTTAGGTCTCGGAGAATCTTGGGCTCTTGTTTTGTGGTATTTCCTAATGATGGGGGTGACTGCAAGGTGAGAGGCGCAGGGGGCCGCCAGACACATGGGTGTGTACACACTTCTGAACAAATAACACGTCCATCTGAAGATGGCGAGTCTCCAGGCCCTCCTGACTTTGGGGTGCGATTCGTGGATTTCTAGGGACTTTCCAAGTATGTTAAGACCAGACACTGTCTTGCTGGTAGGCAGATGGGGATGCTAGAGAGCACCTTTCCACAGGAACAGGCGCGCGCGCTCACGCACAGGGAAGCCGGGTGGCCAGCCTCACGGTCTCCCTGGAATCCCGCCGATTAATTGGAAAGTCCCGCGCACCGCGACGTCGCGTCGCCACGCCGGGAGCATGAAACACGAGAGAAAGCCGCGCAAGACGCACCCGGCGAGGCCACAGCACCGCCGCGGTCCGCGGGAAGCCGCCGAGAGGGCTGGCGTTGCATGCACGTGGCTGGCGGGAGCCCCGAGCGGCGGTGGGGGCGGTGCCCACAGGGGCCCAGGCCGCTGGGCCTTTAAGTGGGCGGGGTCGGCCCCGGCGCCAGCGACCCAGGCCCCACCCCCCGGGCCAGGCCCCGCCCCCGCCCCCGCCCCCGGCCGGAGCCTCGCTGGCCACTACTGGGCAGCCGGCGGGACGCCGGGGGCGGCGCGCGCAGGAGGAAGCGCGCCCACCGCGGCCCTGGGAACTGCCCAGACGCTGAGTCGGGAACGCCATTCGCGGCGTCCCTCTTGCCAGGTGTGCGGGTGTGGGGGCCCAGTCCCGGGCCGTGGCCGCCGTGCGCGGGCCGGCATTTCCTCCTGATCGCCCCGCCCGGCCTCCAGGCTCCCTGCTGCCGGCCCCGCGTCCCGGGCCCCGGGCTCCGGGGCCCGCTCCGCCAGCCTCCCGGATCCAGCCCACCGCGCCCCTCCACGCCCCCCGGCCGGCCGTGGGCTGATGTCCTGAGCTCGCCGCCGCGGGCTCCGTGTCCCGCCGGGGCTGCCCTGGGAAGTTGGGGCGAGGCGCGCCGGGTATGCGCCATCACCATGTCCCGCCTAGACTCGTGGCTCGGTGAGGTCCAGTGGCTGGTCTTGGTGTCGCTCTTCGTCGTGGCGTTGGGCACGGTGGGCCTGTACCTGGCGCAGTGGGCGCTGGCCAGGGCGCGATCTCGGCCCCCGCAGCGGGCGGCGGAGCCTGGCGAGGACCAGCGCCCCGAGTCGGACATGCTGCTCTCCTGGATTCTGACGCTGAACAGCTGGAGGAGCCAGTGGCAGGCCGCCTGGGTGGCCGCCCTGAATCAGGAGGCCAGACGGAAAGGGGTGAGTTTCTGTGAGGGTGTGGTGGCGCTGCAGGGTCGGGTGCGGCTGGCGGCGGGTGCCGGGCCCGTCAGCGCAGAGCTGTCCTCGGGAGCCTCTCACAGCCCTGGAGTGACCCTAAGTGAGCCTTCCCCGTGAGAGGGCATCCTTGAAAGTTAGGGGAAACGCTGGAGAGAGGACCATCCTTGATGGGGAGTCAAGACAAAGTAATTAGACCTTATTCGCCACAGAGGAGGTGTGACAGGGACTGGCTGTTGGAGAGACTTGTCAGAGGGGTCCATTCCCCTTCGAGCTCGTATCAGCCCTTCCTGGAACCCCGCGTGGATTCTGGCTCCCAGATGGACACTCTGCTTTTGCACCTGATGTATGAATAACTGTGACCCAAATATGCTTCCATCTATAGAGCTGAGTTTCACCAAGAATGCATTTCTAAAAGGTTTGCCTGCATCCCCTGGCATATGAAACTAGTGACCATTTGTTGAGAGCCAGCCACTTGCCAGACATTGTATTGGGGGCTTTATGTGCACATGTCATGTGAATCCTCACAGTTCCTGGGACTGTCAACACTTTTCAGATGACCAGCTAGGGCCTGGAGAGGTTAAGTAACCCCCTCCCCCCAGCCCCCCGCCAAGGTCACACAGCCTGTGCTTGGCAGAGCTGGGATTGGAATTCAGCTACCTCCTACCTACCCCAAATAAAACTTGCAGGTTTGTGACCTCAGTGCTGACGAACACGCCTGCGGTTTTCTTTCTTCCAGAGTTAATGACGTGGTGACTTATTTTTTACTCTTAAGGCATCTTAGTTTAATGACAAACTCCTGGCATCTACTATTTCTGGGCATTCCCATGGCAGGAATCAGAGCCTGGTGGATTTGGGGCGGTGCCTCGCAGTCTTTGCCAGTCCTCCTTGTTTTCATGGTCCCGCACCTGCTTGTGCAGCTCAGCAGAGAAGCCTGGGGCTGCTGGCTTTGGAAAGAGCGAATACAGTGTGCCTGGACCCATCAACCTTCAAAATGTTCCAGAGTGGGACCTGTGCCTGGTCCTTGTGCCATGGCCTTGACTCACATGGCCATGGGTTAAACAACAAAAAAGCTTTGCATGTAAATGAGCATGAATCCAGCAACTTGAAAGACTTTGTTCTGAACTATTGAAAACTAAAAGTACCTTTTGGATGAAAAAAGGCTTCAAGGTCAGTTGACTACCGGCTGTCTTGATGCCTAGAAAATGTGCCACTGCTGTCCAGAGCTGGATGTCTCCTGGTCAGGGGAACCACCCATCTCTGTGGGAGCCCCAAAGCCATGTGATCTCATACATGGGAGCAAACCAATTTGTTTCCCCACCGAGCTGCTGTCGTTGACCCCTGATTGACCTGGTGTTACAGGCCAGGTTCTGGGGCTGAGTCAACTTTGGCGGGTGGCGTGAGCAGGTGAGCCTTGTCCCTGGTCTCTAAAATTCAAGGAAGTGTTGGGTGAGTGACCTGAGGATCTGTCGTTCTAATCCTGGGCCTCCAGGTGGAGTTTCAGGCACAGAGCCAGGACCCCACCTTCTGTGTGTGTGAGTTGGGATAGCTTTGCTTAACCCATCGCCTCTTTTCCTGACATTTCTTGATTGGCTTCAGGAAATAGGATGGCCTTAGACCTGCTTCCGGATTGCCTGTGTGCCTGGGTGCTGGAGACTCCTCTCTGGAATGTCTGGGTGGTCAGGTGGAGCTGAGAACCCTGAAGGAACAGAAGGTTTTGAAGAAAAACCTTTCATCACATCACTTGGCTTTGTGGCTGCAGAGAGGGCTCTGTGTTCAGGGAGTGGAGAGAAGTCTGGCTCTGTTCTCCGTCTGCTATTGACCATGCACTGCAGAGCCAGAGACATCAGTGTTTCCACACTCCTGCCCGGAAGGGGCCGTGGTGTGCGGGGTTCAAGCTCAAAGCAGCACGGAGGCTTCCCTGACAGTTTCGGGTGGCTGTAGATTAGATCTGATTGTGTTCCCTGGTGCCTGCAAGTGTTGCCTGATTTGAATTCAAATGGAAGGTTTGCAGGCAGATAGGATCTGGGGAACTCCCGACTAGTGACTTGTCACATGCCCTCCCCTGTCCTAGGCCATCACTGGCAGCACTGATGACAGTCTGGGTGAGCAGGCTGGTGTTTCTAGTGGGTGTCCTGACCCCGGCAGCCAGCCCTGCAGTTTCTCTTTGCCCTCTCTCCAACTTGATTCCCACTAATCCTGGATTAGGGTTGACACCGCATGCCAGACAGGCCCAGAGAGCCACAGCTTAGTGGCCACCTCTGGCCCCTCCTGTCCTGTTATCTCTGCCCTGGCTGGGGGAGGAGACCACTTCTCAGCCTGTCACTAGGGGCTTGGGGACATACTGGAAGTAGCAGTCATATCCAGCATCTTCCTGAAAGGTGGAATTCTCTATCGAATGGAGACGGTAACTCCTCACATTCTAAGTCTTGCCCCGAATTTGTATTTTAAGACTGAAAGGAATCCTAAACTCTTCTAGCAAAGCCCCTTCCTTCTCCAGAGGGGAGATTGAGGCCCATGATCTGGAGAGATTGCTGGGGTTGACCTAGACCCTGGCCTGGGTCTTCGTAGTCCATCCACATCTGCATCCAGTCTCTATGGGCAGCAGATTTGACCCTGAGACCCGTATGTTCTCTTTAACAGAGGACCAGCAAGAAAGGATAAAAGGGTTTGATTGTTTCACGTACCATTCCTAATTGTGGGGCTCCTTTCTCCTGGAACCTGAGGATTGAGCGCTAACCTGTGCAGCCTCCTTTGAATCTGGATGGTCCATGACAGTGGCAGTGCAGGGTCCTCTTGTCAGGCAGCCCTGTGATTCGGACCCTCACTCTGAAACTCTTTTTAAGTTGGAGAGACACGAGAGGAGACCATTGGCTGCCGTGCCAGCTGGCCAGCCAGATGCCAGGTGTTTGGGGAGCACAGACAAATTGCCTAGAGAGCTTTGAAAAAATACACATGCCTTCCCTCCTGCAATTCTGAATTAGTAGGTTGGCAGGGGTGTGGGGAGCATACTGTATGTTTCACAAATTCCCCAAGCTAGCTTCTTCCCACCAGTGAGAGGCTGCTAGTCCTAAGCCAACTGTCAGTCAGTTACCCAACACCTCTCCACTCTGATGTCTCGAACACCTAATCCAGTTGGTCTGGTCACAGTTCGGTCATGGAGAGCAGAGACCCCACAACTGCCTCAGCCACTAGACTTGGAACTAATACTCTATTATCTAAAAGCGACAGCCGAGGTTTTCCCTTTAGTTCCCCTGCATAGTGCTGACAGTTACAAAATGGTTTGCAGGGACAGTCAGTCACCCCAGCGATGGTCCACACCCCTGACACCCATCCGGGGGGCTCTGGGTTGCCATTTCCATGGCAGCTCACTGGCTGCCACCGTGCCTGTGGCCCGAGAGCCCTGCTGGCGCGCTGGACAGTGCTTCCTGCCTACGTGATGCCCGCACTGTGATACTGACCTCGCAGCGGGATCACCTCTGCGCTTAGGTAGCGTGGGCCACCCTGAAGCTGTCTGTTTCTTTCATCCTTTGCCCCAGGATTGTTTTCAGAGGGATGTGCTGGATGCCAATTACCGAGACCGGGGGATAATTTGTGGTTTTCTGAAGAAACAGAAAAGATGCAGTGGAACTTAGGGCGTGTTATTAATAGCTCTAACTTGTAGATGAGCTTCAGCAATTTAAAAAGTAAACAGAGTGACAGGACTTCAGAGTTTTCCTGTTACATAATGAGCTCTGAGTGTGTTCACAGAAATCCAAACTTCTGACCAGCTGCAGTGGCCATGATATAAGAAGTAAGTTGGCAAGAATGTGAAGGCGACCTTGGATAAGGGACTTGTGCGGGCCACTCCCTGCACCCTCCCCTGTGGCAACCCCAACCCCCAACTGGTCTCCTTTGTTTCTCGACTATTCAGGTTCCTTTCCTGTGGGGGCTTTTCCATGGGTTATTCCTTTTGTCTCAAACACTTACTTAACCGGTCTTCTTATTTAACTTCTGCAACTCTTTCAGAAAGATCCCTGGTCCTCCCATTCTGCCAAGATGCTGCCCCCCCCCCCACCCCAGTAACCTGTGCTTGTCCTGAATTACATTGGCACCTAGTGGTCACTTGTACCTCATGGAATTGTAAGCTAGGCCAGAGCCCTGCCTGTCCAGGCACAGCCCATCCAATGCCCTGCACAAGGCTGGCTCAGAACAGTCGAGGGTGGGTTCAGGGGGTGCAATGAATTTAGGGCCTCTTAGAGAAACGGTGGCCATGTGCATTACCCCATTTGGACACAGGCCTTCCCTGCTTGGGAGCCCGCCAAGCCTGGGCAAAACAAACTGTTTAATATGCTTTGTTTTTCTCTTCTAAAGAATCGACTTTAAAGGAGGCTCACTGATGACTTTGCAAATTGTCCATATGAAACCCAGGAGCAGGCGCCAGTTCAGGTTGTTCTTTGTACTCACCCATTCTCCCAGTGGGACCGGAATTCGGGGGAAGGAAGAGTGGGTGTAGTGTTAACTAAATTACAGCCAAAGCTACCTCGACTTTTATAGGCCCCTCGTGGGCTGCTGAGTTGGGAGGGGACTTCTTGAGCTGCTTGGAAGAGCTGTGTTCACTGCCCAGGCTGGAAGCTCTGGGGCTGTGTGATCCTGGGCAAGTCCTGACCTCTCTGTGCTTCATTTGTAGAAGAGGATAAGTTTGGGTTCAATCTGGAAAACAGAATCCACTCTGGATGACATGAGATCTATTTGGGGGCATTTAGCAAATAATGTTAAAAAAATGGGCTACTTTCTTGTAAAGTCTCTTTTAAAAACTTTATTTTTTATGGCTCTTAGATTTACAGAAACTTTGCAAAAATAATCCAGAGAGTTTCCATATATTCCTCACCTATCCTCTTATAACCATAGCACACTGCTCAGAACCAAGAAACTAACATTGACACAATGTTATTGTAATTTATAGTAAAATGATATTAACAGTGTAACAGGACAAGAAATTAACATTGGCACAATGTTACTATAATTCATGGTACAATGATATTAACATTGTAAACAGTATAAGACATCAACATTGATACAATGTTGCTATAATTCATGGTACAGTGATATTAACATTGTAAACAGTATAAGACATTAACACTGGCAATGGTCTTTAGCTAAACTGAAGACCTCATGTGAATTTCACAGATATTCCACCAATATCCCTTTCTTGGTCCAGGGTCCCATTCAGGTCCCTTGTGGCATTCAGTTGTTGCTTCTCCTTATTCTCCTGGTCTTGAATAGTTTTGTGATCTTTCTTTGTTTTTTACAACCTTGACAACTCTGAAGAGTATTATTCTTTTGCCAAATGTCCCTCAAATTGGTGTTTTTACACAATTGAACTGAGGTTACACAAGCTACAGAAGTGATATGCCCCTTTCCATATACTAAATCATGGGGTTCATGATGTCATTGAAACTTACTGCTGGGGACTTTAGCCTTGATCCCTTGATGAAGGTGGTTTCTGCCACTTTCTCTTCTGTGTTATGTCCCCTCTTATATCATTCCCTCTGGAGTTAAAGTTATCTTGTGCAGATACTTTGAGACTATACACATCCTGTCACTACTCACACTTTGTTCGCTGATTCTGGCATCCATCCATGTGATGAGTCTGCAACAGTTACTTCTGGGGAGTTTGCTTAGTGATAGTTTCTTGTTTTCGTCTCCCTTTTACTTTTATTCATTCGAATTCTACTCCAGGGGAGAGCTATATATTTAGCTGATTATTTACATCAGTGTGGACTCACGGGGGTTTATTTTATTCTGTGCATTATAACCCAACACGATCACTCTCTGTGTTGTTGCATCTGTTCTTATTTGAGCATGAGCAGCTCTTAGTAGCAGCCTTTGTGTCCTTCCATCAAGATAGAAAGATATTTGTGTGTGTATATTTAGCACTTTCTTACTTCATGGTTCTAGAGATGTTGTTTTTCTAGACTCGTCTTGGCTTTCCCCTCTGCCGGCCCTAGACTTAGCCACTTCTCCAGGCTGGTTCCTTCTACTGCAGAAGTGTCTAGAAACCAAGATCTGGGCATCAGGGGTGTTCATTAATGCTGAGGTCCCATGGCTTCTAGACTTTTTAGTGGACAGAGCTAGGAAATATATGTGTGTGTACAAACACTCATGCACACGCCTGTATTTCTCTATCTTTCTGTCTGTATCTTCGAAACCATGACTTTATACGGATTCCTTGGCCTGAATAGAGTTCATTTTATCTCCCCTATCCAATTTTTTTTTTTTTATTCTCACCCGAGGATATTTTTCCATTTTTTGTTCAGATATAGTGGGGGGTGGGGGGAGAGAGAGAGAGAGAGACATTGATGTGAAAGGGACACATTGAGTGGCTGCCACCTGCATGACCAACCAGGGCCAGGGACAAACTGCAGCTGAGGTACGTGTCCTTAGTGGGAACTGAACCCCGATCTCTCTGGACTGCAGGCCGACACTCTAACCGCTGAGCCAAACTGGCCAGGGCTCCCATATCCAAATTTTTAACTTACTTCTCCAGGAGGGAGGCATCAGGTACTTATCTGGAACGTATTTATTTACTTGGTCAGTTCGCATTCACATAGAGTAGTTTCTGAATCGCTAACCTGTACCCCTGTGAGAAACACATTCACAGCATTTATGTGCCATCAGGATATTGTTTCCCAAAGTGTCTTAGGTTAGACTGTGTTTTTCCACCCCTTCGGGGGGGGGGGGGGGTTATGATATTCATTTGCAATGCAGTTGGGTTCAATTGTTAGTGTTTGTTTTCCATCTGGGGTTCCTCCCACATCGTGATCAAAGAGAGAATCCACCTTTCGCCAGTGATCTGGGATGCCACTCTCGCCCCCTGCTAAGTCTGCACACGTCCGGGTCTTCGGGACTTCCTGTTCCTGTCCACTGGACGTTTGCGTGTTCACGTGCCAGTCCACACGGTTTGAAAGGTGGAGGGGCTGTCGTGTGTGCTAACACCTGGCAGGGCTAGTCCCCCTCATGGTTTTTCTTCTTCAGTGTTTACCTGGCGATTCCCGCATGCTGCCCTCCCAGGGGGACGTCAAGTCTGGCTTTGGTCTGAGCAGGGCAGCACCTGCAAGGGGCTGTCTGCTCACTCGTGGCTGAGTGCACACGCTAGGCTTCTTGAAACTCAAGGATTAGGCAGTCAGGAAGGGAATGGGAACCCGTGTCCTTGTTTCAACTTAATCTATTTCCTTTGTGAGCCCACTCTGACATGAACTCTCCTGGCAGAATCTTTCCAGGGTTTTAATTCATTAGGTGCTATAGGTGAGAGGGTACGGACTGTGTGGACTGCGTGCACCGAGGCCCGGGGCAGGGGCCTTCGTCCGGGCTGCGCACGGTGACAGTGGCTCTTTCGGCGGGGACAGGAGGTGCATTGTTTCACTGCACTGTGCAGCAGCTGTCACCACTCCTGCCGATGCTTCCCTGCCTGGCACTGGGCTCCGTGCTGGGGCGGTCCCTCTCGCCACCCGGCCCTGTACGTGGACCCCTGTCATCACCAGGCTCCTGGCGTACCCCGGTCAGCAGGTCACACCCAAACAAGCACCAGCCATGGAGAGCGTCAGCGGAGCAGCTGAAACTGATTTCACCTCTCGTGGGGGGTCGATTTAATTCCCCTTTGATGATTTCTGGGGGATGAGATTGGCGTTGCTAAACCAGGCGGGGTCAGAAACATGTGATCGAAAGTGTTCTGTGCCTGTTAGCTTTCCTTTGGGTTGTGGGGAATTCTTAAGAAGTAACCCCTGATGACCTCAGCGCCCGCCGGCTCCTGGTGCTGTGCCTCCCAGACGAGCTTGGGTGTCTTTTGCAGAATTTTGTTTTCCCACCTGATGGGGTCTCGAGCTGTAACCAGCTCACCACGTGGAGCATCTCTGGATAGAGGGGGAGCCGTGGGAAGCGCGGGGTGGAAGTTTTTCCTGCAGCACCCCATCAGAACTTGCTTGACTGTGATACATGTCAGGAAGTGTTTTAAGAAGAACTTCATTCCAGGTTGTATTGTTGCCATAAGTGTTTTGGCCTCTCCAGAGAATTTATTTGAAACAGGACAAGCTTGATTGGCTGTCCAAGCCCTGGTTTGTTCTTTCATAAAATATTAGTCTTGTTGCCTTGGGGGTCATATTAATTTAATTGCATATCTCTCTCACTTGGAGATTTTTTATTGCAAGAACCTAAATGGACGTAGGCTGACAAGCCACGAGGGAGTTTACGGGGAGGGTGTGGGCGGGTGCACAGAGCTGAAGGCAGGGTTGCACCAGAGGCTTGGGGCAGGAGCTGGCAGCTCTGGGGGTCTGAGAAGCAGTAGCTCTGGAAGGTGCTCTTGGGGCACAGCCTCCAAGCTGGCTCATTTCCAGCCAAGGAGTCCCAAGTTCCATGGAAAGGTGGCTGGCCCCAGGGGTTCCTGCCCACCCACTCCTTGGCACCTTAAGTACAATGCCAGCAACCAGAGACAGGGAAGGTGATTCTCTAAAAGCAGGGCTTTCCCCAGAGGCAGGGAGGACACAGCCCTGGCACCTCCGTGCCTGGCCGGAGGCTGTGCTGCACCCGCAGACCCCCAGACCAGCACGGGCACCTCCCCGAAGAGCCTGCACTTCTTCCCGTGGTGAACATGAGTGTCCAGAACACCCTTCCCTGTCTCAGCTGTGAAAGCTTTGCTCTTGTTCCTGTGTTTCTCTGCTTCCCATCCTTGTCCCATTCCCGAGTCTGCCCCGGAGTGCGAGCCAGCCCGAGCAAGTCCCCAGCGCCAGCACCGACTCCTGTTGGATCACTGCTGCTACTTGCTACTTAGAGGCACGGGCTTCACTGGAAGAAGCCATGTTGCATCTCCTTGGATTTGCGGGGTGTTGTCGCAGACACCGGATCTCCCTAGGGGCAGGCACCCCCACTGTGCGCGTGTCCTCACTGTGCGTTTCTGTTCCAGGGCCCGCTGCCCCTCTCCTTCCAGGAGGACCCGCAGCAGCAGCCCCTGGAGCTGGCGGTGCAGCAAGTCTTGAGTGCGGCCAGGTCGGCCCAGGAGAAGGTGAGCTGGGTGTGTCCCTGGGAAGGGCCTTCCCTTACGGAGGGAGCGCATCTAAAGCCCGTGGGGGCAGTCTGCTCTGTTTTAGAATTGTTTGAAAATGCAGACACCTTACCTTTAAAACATCTGCTCCATCGGCTGGTGATGGATAAATAAAAGGTGGTCTATCCGTACAATACAATATCATTCAGCCTTAAAAGGAATGCATTACTTTTTTCTTCATTGATTTTTAGAGAAAGAGGAAGGGAGAGGGAGAGAGAGATAGAAACATGGATGAGAGAGAACATCGACTGGCCGCCTCCTGCACGCCCCTCACTGGGGATCAGGCCCACCACCTGGGCATGTGCCCTGACCGGGAATCGAACCGGTGACCTCTTGGTGCACGGGCCGACACTCAACCACTGAGCCAGACCCACTGGGCAAAAGGAATGAATTTCTGACGCAGGCTAGGACATGATGAGCCTTGAAGACAGGATGCTCAGTGGAAGAAGTCAGATACAAAAGGCCACATATCGTAGGAGCCCATTTACATGAAACGTCCAGATCAGTCAGTAGAGACAGAAAGCAGACCAGTGGTCAGCAGTCCTGGGTGGAGGCAGAGGTTGGGGGAAATAGGGGTGACCACTGTGGGTACAGGGTTTCTTTTGGGGGTGGTGAGAATGTTCTAAAAGTGATGGTAGAGATGGTTTATACTGGTCTGTGGAGCATATTTTTTAAAACATTTAATTCTACAGCTTAAGTGGGTGAATTACATGGTATGTGAATTATCTTAATAAAATATACACAAACATGTATGTGTGTATATGTATATAGTCTGTAATATGATAGATTGGAGCATTTGGATATTATGTAGAGCTCATTTTGCAGTTTCTAACTGTTCACAAGCTGAAATTACTTATTAGACTGGTCAAATACCATATGTAATTTTAATGATCTTTTAAAATGGAAGGTATCTGTAAGATCCTAGCCCTGGCCAGCGTAGTTCAGTGGTTAGAGCATCGGCCCTCGGACTAAAGGGTCGCAGGTTCGAATCCTGCTCAAGGGCACGTGCCTGGGTTGCAGGTTTGATGTGTGTGGGAGGCAACCAATCAATATAGCTTTCTCACATGGATGTTTCTCTCCTTCCTCCCCCCACTGTTTCTAAAAATCAATGGAAAAAAATATCCTTGGATGAGGATTAATTTTTTTTAAATCCTAAAGAACTTTTCTTAAATACAAGGCTTACCCTTGTATCTCTCTACATTTTATTATTCAGTAAAAAGCATACCATGTAGCAGCCAGTGAGGAAGGGACACCTTTGTGACCCCAGGTCGAGAAGCAGAACATTGCCAGCCCCAGCACCCTCCCCGCTGTGTCCCCTCCCTGTCTCCGCCAGAGTGTGGCTGGTGCACTTAGAACATTTACCGTTTGTAGGTAGTTTCACAACCAGCTTTTTCTGTAGGATATGGCAGTTTTGAGAGTCATCCAGGTCAGTTTACACAGCTCTGTTCATTTGCTTTACTATAGTTCAGGGTTCTGGATGGACCAGAGCGTCTCTCTGCCCTCTGTTGATGGGTAATTCAGTGGTTCTCTCTCTCTTTTTTTTTTTATCCTCACCCGAGGACATGTTTCCATTTTTTGTACAGATAGAGTGGGAGGGAGAGAGAGAGAGAGAGAAACATCAATGTGAAGGGACACATCGAGTGGCTGCCACCCGCACGACCAATCAGGGCTGGGGACAAACTGCAACCGAAGTACATGCCCTTAGCGGGAACCGAACCTGGGTCTCTCCGGACCGCAGGCTGACGCTCTAACCGCTGAGCCAAACCGGCCAGGGCAGTGGTTCTCTTTTTCACAAGTGCAGCAAAGCTGTAGTGAACTTGAAGGTGTACAGTGTCCAAACCCCTCAGCATGAGCGTAGAGGATGCCAGGGGGACGAGGGACTGCCAGGCAATAGGTCTGCACCCCTCCTCTTGACTGGGTTTCCCAGGACTCGTCCCCAAAGTGCTGTGCCACCCAACTCTGCCTGGCATCCCAAGAGACCTCCCCTCCCCATCCCTTTGCCAAGAGAGTCACACAGCTACCTAATCCTCAAACAAACGTCATGGAGTCTCTGGATCATATTGGGGTTCCAGGAGGAAACTGGCGGCACCACCGCAGGATGCTGAGTCCAGCAACACCCACAGAGCTGGGAGGGGCCGGCGAGCAGGGCTCTAGTGCCTGAGTTTCACAGACCGGGACCGAGGGCAGACCCCGCAGGCCTGACCTGCCCGAGGCCTCTGCGTGGGCAGTGTCCCCCCCTGTGCGGGGCGCCCTCTCCACCGCAGGCACGCAGGACCCTCTGCGTGGGCGGTGCCCCCCGGTGCGGGGCGCCCTCTCCACCGCAGGCACGCAGGACCCTCTGCGTGGGCGGTGCCCCCCGGTGCGGGGCGCCCTCTCCACCGCAGGCACACAGGACCCTCTGCGTGGGCAGTGTCTCCCGGTGCGGGGCGCCCTCTCCACCGCAGGCACGCAGGACCCTCTGCGTGGGCGGTGTCCCCCGGTGCGGGGCGCCCTCTCCACCGCAGGCACGCAGGACCCTCTGTGTGGGCAGTGTCTTTCTGGTGTTTTCTGTCACTGGCCAAGGGGTACAGGAGGGAACAGACACAAGGAGCAGCAGTAGACCATTTTGCAGTGTCTTGCTGTGTAGTGCCCGAGAAAGGGGAGGTTCAATATGTTTGTTTTGTTTTTAATCCTCACCCAAGGATATTTTTCCATTTATCTTCAGATAGACTTGGAGGGAGGGAGGGAGAGAGAGAGAAACAAACACCGATGTGAAAGAGACACATCAATCGATTGCCTCCTGCATGACCCCGACCAGGGCTGGAGATGAACCGCAACCGAGGTACATGCCCTTGGCCGGAATCGAACCTGCAACCCTGTGGTCCGAGGGCCAATGCTCTAACCACTGAACCACGCCAGCCAGGGCTCAGTATGTTTTAGTACCATTCCGGAACTGGTGCATGCTCACTAGAAAGTCAGAGCAGTTCAGAAGTGTGGAAATTTCCATGGAAGTCTGCACCCCGCGCCCTCCCCCGGCTCCTCGGGCGGGACCGCCGTCCACAGGGTGCCCTCCAAGGCCTTTCACTCACCGCAGGCGACGGGAAAGTGCACACGAGGTCCTGTTGTGTTTTACAGGCGTCTTCAGAGTTCTTGACTCGTATGTTTTCTCAGCCCGACGAGGAAGTGAGAACGTGCCATTGCCTTGTGCTGTCCCCCTTGGACGAGCTGGCTGGCCGGCTGGGTGACAGGCCCCTGGGGCCCTGCGCAGTGTGGGCAAGTGGGGCTGGTGGTGTCCTGTGTCACAGTAACACTTGGCAGCCTGGGTCCTGTGCATGCCCCCCGGTGGGGACACCCTGCCAGGATCTGCCCGGCGCCTGGGAAGTTGGGCATAGGACTCGCCTGCGTGTTTGGATCGTGTACATGGCCTTTTCCACTCTTGGACGAGCCTCCTGGCTGACATGGTGCATTTCAGGGCGTCCTTTTGCAAAGGGGTCGGGCCAGGCTGATCAGAGTTCCTCCTGCCATGTGTCCCGGCAGGAGGTTCCTGAACATCTGTGCATCAGATGAAGGTGGGCACAGGGGCCAGTGTGCTCGAGTCCTCTGTCGGGCAGGACGCTGACAGCACCCTCCTCCTGCCTTTAGGGTCTCATTGCACACGTGGCCCCGCCACGGGCCCCAGACTTACACGGAAGCCTGTGTCCACACCATCCTGTGTTCTCTCTACTCGGTGTAGTCTTTTGTTTTTCATTCCCCACCCGAGGATATTTTTCTGTTTATCATCAGATAGAGTGAGAGGGAGGGAGGGAGGGAGGGAGGGAGGGAGAGAGAAACATTGACGTGATAGAGCCACATCGACTGGTTGCCTCCGTGTCACACGACCTGACCAGGGCTGTGGACGAACTGCAACCGAGGTACGTGCCCTTGTCCGGAATCGAACCCGCAACTCACTGGTCTACAGGCCGACGCTCTAACCGCTGAGCCAACCAGCCAGGGCTTGGTGTAGTTCTTGAGAAGGAAAAAACTGATAGACCCCGAGGCTCACAAGCCGATGTTACAAAAGAAATACAGGCGTGTGATTTCAAGGACAGTGCCGTCCCCTCTCTAGGTTCCCTCCAGTGTCAGGTTGTCCCTTTGTCATCTCTCTGGCTCACGTGCATGGCGTTGGAGCTGATGGTAGAGACAGTCCTGCTGGACCTGGGGCTCTGGTGTGTGTAGTCACGTCTCTGATCCCTTAGCTGAGAATGGGGGCTCAGGTCTACCTTGGGGAGTGTTTTTCTGACTTGTGTTTGGTCTTGAGCCTCCCTGACACCTCCCTGGGACAGAACCTGGCCCGCCTGCTCTCTGGGTGCCCTGCAGGTGCAGTTTCCCTGCAGCCCCCAGGACCCCCATCGCCTTGCAGACATCGGGCCGTCAGCACCCCCGCCTCGGCACCCTGCGCGGAGGGCGGGCATGCTGCTGTCACTCAGTTGTCCCGCAGAACCACGAGAAGTGCGGAGCCCACACCCGCAGCCTGGGCTGAATCAGGGTGGTCTGAGCTGTGTACCCACAACACTGCTGACACCGAATGTGTGGGTGTTTCTTCCACCCAGCACTCGGTGCTCCCGCGTTCTGGAGACCAGCCGGGTGTGCAACAGTTCAGTTCGATTGGAACACTGCCGAATGCAGGCCTCCCAGGTTAAGGGCTCTGCCCCACACATCTGTCCCCATGTCACACGCCAGTCCCCAGTCAGGGCCACCCATGCTCTGACCAACAGGCTGTAAAGTCGGGGTTCTCATTCTCAGGTTTGATAATTTGCCGGAGCAGCTCACAGAACCCTGTTTGGGATACAGGACACCACTCAGGAGTGGCCAAGTGGAGAGATGCGCAGGGCCGGCGTGGGCAGGCGTGGGGGCTCCCACCCCTGTGCGTGCTCCGCCCTCCCGGCACCTGCTCCCGCGGACCGACCCACAGCTCCGTGAACCCCGTGTTGGGGGATCTTATG